CTTTTGAAAAAAGAAGCAGAAATATCTCGCCCAAACAAAACCCTGGTATACTTATATCGAGTTATGCGACGCTGCTGTGTCTAAAGATCTGGGACAGAATCATTTTTTTCCTAAGAAATACCGAGTACATTACTGCTGGCTCTTCGATTTTTATGTTACAAAAAATCACTCTGAACAAAGTTTCACACTATTCATTAAAATTTGACATAATCAATTTGAAACTAAAATGATTTCTCCTAGTGTGAATTTTAAACCGGCACGTACATGACCATTTCGTTTCATTTTCTGTCACGATTAATACAAGGATTTTAATCTGAATTATAATCATTATAATTCGTGTGTGATTTTGACCTCTTATCTCAATGGGACCGGCACCAGCACGTCCACTGCATTCTTTTTTATTGCCCTTGTAGGCAGACGAACATACGGTCCATCTAATCATGAGTGGTTACCGTCGCCCATGGACAGCAATGCCAGGGGCAGAGCCAAGCCGCTGCCTACCGCTTAATACTCTCCACAAGCCTCGTTTGAAAAAGGACATGTCATAGCGCTCAGGAAACAATGTGAAGAGGAGCTCATTGGGTAAATTGGCTAAACAGAGGATCCATAGCCGGATGGTACATGGCAAAAAAGATCTCTGAAAACGCACTGTGGATAACCGCAGTGGCTTATAGTACGGATGAACTCTACTCCGGTGGCGGGCGGTGCGATGGTAAAAACGAGATCATCTCGTTTCTCGCATTAAATAACATTTCCATAACATTACCGACTAAATGTCACAATTGAATTAAAATCTCAGTTTATTGTGGAGCAAGATACTAGCACATTTAGCCTCCTGAGTTACTCATCGGATCTTTTCAGTGGGACGCTATTCCGAGCCGGTAATAGATGTATTTAAAAAAACTATACATTTCAGAATTAAATTTTTCATTTCAATGAATATTTAGTATTGTATAATATGTGTTGTCTGCAACGCAACCAGTCTCAATTAATTCATTATAATTGTTTTAACGGTGAGCCAACGATCCGTGCCTCGACAATGATGTGCACGGTCTGTTTCTTAACTTATGTAACTTAACTTGTTCTCTGAGTTATGAGCAAAATACCACCTATGGATAATTTGACCTTTGACTTTTTTCCTGTTTCCTATTTATTGATCGGTAGGGTGTATTGTGGGGCCGCTATGTACCACAATCCTGACTACTTCAGTCGCGGGGCAGTCATACGTTCCGGCTTGACAAGCGAGACAGACAGCCACAATCCAATTGAGACTTTAAAATATAATATGTCGCAAGCTCGATACTGCCATTCACAGTGAGATTTGTTTAAGGGTTTCGAAAGACTTTTTTTTAATTTTTTTTATTGCCCTTGTATGCAGACGAGCATACGGCCCACCTGATGGTGAGTGATTACCGTCGAGCAATGCCAGGCGCAGAGCCAAGCTGCTGCCTACCGTTGACTACTACTACCGTCTACGACGGAGACTACTGCCGTCGTGTACTTAACTAAAAAAAAAATCTATTTAAATGAAAATTAATGTTTCTCCTCCATGCGTTCCAATTAAACGAATTGTTTGGAAACGTTTGGAACAACCGTTCTTGGCACTCCAGTAAAATTTTCTGTCACAGTTTCTGACCATTAGTTATTTATCTATGGGTGATAGCGGTGCGCTAGTCTGTTCAGAAATCGGTGTCTTTCAATTAGCGATAGACAAAAGAAAGCGTGACCGGGTTCCACCAGTAAAAAGTACACAATGTGTGTTAATGTTGATACTTTTAGTTGCTTTGCAAATTACGACAATTATCGATCGGTGATGGCCGTCCATAGTAATACATAGTAATAGATTATAAATTTTGATTTCTCTTTTATTCCTTTTTTACAAAATCACACAGAAACATCCAAGTTCTGATAGCCGAGCATCTTTTTTTTTTTATTGTCCTTGTAGGGAGACGAGCATACGGCCCACCTTTTTTATTTTTTATTTTTATTGCTTACGTGGGTGGACGAGCTCACAACCCACCTGGTTTTCAGTGGTTACTGGAGCCCATAGACATCCACAACGTAAATGCGCCACCCACCTTGAGATATAAGTTCTAAGGTCTCAAGTTACTTGTGAACCCGTACGGGTAGGTATCACCAGCCTGCCCATTCCTGTCCCGAAGCAGCTAAACTATCCGTTCCGGTTCGTAGGCTTGGAACTGCCATAGTACTTATACCATTGAGACTTTCATCATAATCACCTTTAATGGTGGGTGGCGGCATTCATGTAATAATGATCTGCGGTTTCTCCTAACACTAGTACTACTACCAACACTGTTAAGGATCTCTAAATCCCTCTCCAAACAAGTTTTTATTCTCGCCCACCACTGAGCTTCACTTCATCGAGCGATCGCGAACACATATACATCTGTAACGATTACATTATCTACTACAATATTGCACTTCATTATTATTTGTTCTTCAGTTTTTATCTATACTAATATTATAAAGAGGAAAGATTTGTTTGTTTGTTTGTTTCGAATAGGCTCCGAAACTACTGGACCAATTTGAAAAATTCTTTTTCCATTAGAAACCGACATTGTCCCTGATGAACATAGGCAACTTTTTTTAAAAAAAAATTTTTTTTTTTTGTTTCATGTGTGTTTTAATGTTTCCGAAGCGAAGCGAGGGCGGGTCGCTAGTGTTTTAATAAACCTGTAAAAACGAGCCAAATCGTTTCATTGAAGAGAACAACAAGACATCCTGCAAGGAACAAACACCACCACTACCACTACCACTACTACTACCACGAGTTCTTCCACTTATCTCTTAATAAAAGTATTTTAATATAGTTTCCATCTTATAATATGGAAATCGGATACTTGTCTAAAACTAATAAACACTTTGTGTTTTATTTGGTAGTTAAAAATTTCAAGAGAAACATAAGTTATAATATTATTGAAATTTTTTTTTACGTGCGAAGTATTTCTGAAATTTTAGAAAGGTTTGGAAAATTTTAATTCGTAGAACTTATTGAAAAACAGTTGCGATATTTTGTTATAAAAATAATATTTTTGCACAATATGCTTGGAACTTTTTGTTTGATATGCATGTTTGACAGTTCGTCCTTCTATGATACAGCAACAGATGGACATGTTTTTTTTTAATTAGTTAATGAATTAAGGAATCAATATAACGTGCAACAGACCATGGAATACACCAATTTGCTTCTTTCACAGCATAGTTTATGAAACCAAGTTGTGATGTACTACTTATTAATAGGTATTTTTTACCTATGAAGTTACCGTTTTACAATGCTATGTATGGCTCGTAATAAATTCTAAATTCAAATAAATTTTATTTAAAAAAGATTAAATTCTATTTTTAATTTCAGTCATCTGTTTATTGATTAGTGTTTTGTTTTCACTACAAAGGTATTTCTTTATCCAGATTATGGATATTGTCTATATTAGTAGTAGGTAATTATGAAACGCGAGCTCGAGAGAAAAATTGCTTATTTTTGATAATCGTAATGGGTCATTATTTCTTGGTTAAGTTCTGGTTCAGCACCTGGGCAATGCCCAAACGAAAACTTACCTCTAAAACGGAAATTAGCGTACGTCTCATCTGATGGTGTTTGGTTACTGTCGACCATAGAATTCAGCAATGCCAGAAGCAGAGCCAAGCTACTGCCTACTGTAACATATAATCCATAATATAAGGTAATAAAAAATTATGTAATATGCTAAATTTCACGACGATTTTTTCAGGGCTGATCACAGCTTGGTTCCAGACTAAAGTATTTTTTCCATTTATTTGAACCTTAGATTTAAATATAGTAGTTCTTCTTCGAACTTTTCCAGTGGTAGACATAATTAGTTATTTATCAGTAGTAGTTAGTTCCAACGTTCCGAATAATTCACCGTTTTCGTGTTCACGGACGACTTATTTAGATGCTTTATTTCTGTCTAGATACATATTTATGTAAACACACTGATAAACGAGGTAGCATCATGCAAGCGTCAAATCGATACATATACCTACACATATTTCCTCATTACGGGCTAGTAGCAATGGGGAAGTAAATGAATAGTTCCGTAAAACTGTCATTATTTAGTCGAAGTTCGATGACTTGTAAATTACATGTATTTTTTTTATTAACCAAAGTTGTGATAGTATATTATTATATTTACAAAACTTTTTTGGAATTGAATAATCGTATTGGTAACCATAATTGAGCTGTAAAATAGGCTACATTTATCAATAACATTTTTTTTATATTATATATACATAGATATTTTCTCTTCTATCTCTATATATTATATATAAATTAGGTAGAGACTTTTCACTTTGCCTGAATAGCGTATGTCTTATTGCAATTTAATTGAATAACACGTTTTTGGGTTGTAAAGCATAATCATTGGATCATCATTGATTTAAAGTAATGAAAATTAGTTTGTGTTTCTAATTGAGTACCCCTGACTCATAGCTTCACTGATCAACTCTAAGGAATGTCCATGAATAGTTTGCAAGCTCATTTCCAGAGACACATGGGTCGCGATATTCAGATTAGTGAATAGTTAAAATATTTTGTACTTATAAATAGAAACCATTAATGTGTCAACCATAATCCTCTAATATAATTTTCAACCATAATTTTCTCATAATGATTTTTTTGCCGTTGCTGACAGCGCGGAGACAAACTTTCGAAGAGACAAGCATAGTGAAACCGTGAAGCTATTTAGTATGGGATAAAATAAGGAGGCAGTGTCGATACTGTCGTATTGCAACCCGACTCGTGCCGTTCGTGCATATAGAGTCAAAATTGAAGCGCTTTACAAACAATCGTTAACGGAATACTGATTTAACGTTCAGACTGTCAATATGAAAGCTATTTGTGTGTTTTCATATTGTGAACAAAAGAAAGATATGACTAGTCGTCCTTTTCTAACGCACTTTCGTTCTACGGAGTTGCAGGAGCGGCGCGGCGTGTCGCAGTGCACAGAGTGAGCGCGGGCTTAGTTTTAAGCGATCGCGCAGCGAAGGCGCTCTCTGCCGGCGACCTCCGTAATTTTACAACACGACATTTCCCGGTGCTAGTGTAGTGCTAAGCTAAACTCGTTTTCATCCGCTGGATATCCGTATGCGTGCATTACGTACGGCAACAGGACAGTCGCGGCCGCCGGTCCACTGTGCAGGTGTGTGAGATATTACAGTCGGCGAAGTAGGATATCGGATAATTATTATTATAATCGGATGCGGCTGCACTCAGCCCGGCCGCGCACTGCCCAAGCCGAAATCCTTGTCCTCAATTGAAATTTAAAGCGTATCGTATTCTGATCTAATGTTGCCATTAGATACGAAATATTTTTTTTATTAACTTTACTTTAAAGCTCAACTAAGACATGCCTTTGCCTTATAAAATAAATAAATGAAAATGTCGTTTTTTCATTCGTTTTAAACAACAATATTACGATTTAAAAACGTTTCGCCCGCGTCTCATTTCTAGTTTGATGCAATGAGCGCTCTAAATAAACATTTATTAGTTTAAAATCAATAATCTTTATTAATAGCCGTAGCCCGCAAACCAGTCGTGCTGCAAGTTTCAACCTCTGTTGAGATTGGCCATGTAAACCAATATTTCAGGTTTCTAAATCACAGCCTCCGTTTTGTGAATTATTATTAACTTGACACCTCGGTACAGTCATTACACCACTCGTCTCGGTGGCTACTGTGAAATTTACAAACTTAAATATTTGCTTAAATAGTGAGCTTCGAATTTTGAAATGATAAGTCAATTTGTCACTGAGACATTTAAAAAAAATCTGCACTGAAATTCCTATCAGCGAGACGTTGACAGGCAAAAGGTGAACAATATTGCCTAAACGAACGTCGCAAGAATCAAGAAAGCAACGCCTTATTATTGACGAAGAATTTTGTAAGACCGTCAATTTTTGACACTATTGCAAATTGTTTCAAACAAAATAGGCAATACAACTAGTGTTGCTGTCAGCTGTAATTAACACCGAATTCAAAATAATTCTAACACAAAAAAAAACATAAGCCAGTCTATTTTCAGATTTGTCCGAGAAAAATCTTTTTTTATTTTAATTTTTTATTGCCCTTGTAGGCAGACGAGGATACGGCCCTCCTAATGGTGAGTGGTTACCGTCGCCCATGGACTTCAGCAATGACAGGGGCAGGCCCAAGCCACTGGCTACCGTTGAGTACTTAATAAAAAATTAAACGCATATTTAACATACCATGGGTGGGCAGTTGATTTCATAACCCACCTAGCTTTAAGCGATCACTGGAGCTCATAGGCACCACACAAATAATGATCTGAATGGCGCCCGTTACCTACCGTCAGACACGTGCTCAAAACCTCAATTCTAATGGTTCAATGACTGTCCTACCTTTTAAACTCAAAGACAGATTAATTGTTCTACTACGTTCAATGAAAATTTACATTGGGGGTAAGGTATTGTTTCGTGGGATACCGTATTGTATGTTGCTGATGACGTATTATAATCTCGCACGGGTATGTACCATTATTCTGCCTATTTGTGCCACGAAGCAATCATATGTTCCGGTTTGAAGGGTGGGTCAGCCGTTATACAATAAAAATGCGATTTTGAACTCTTGAAAATTTTCATATACGATTGTACATTACATAATTATCGCCTTTGACTATTCAATTGAATTATAAAGATTGTCACTCACGGATCCTAATCGATAAAGATTAGAAGACTAGTCTTATAAGTGATGAAATTTCACTACGATAAATCTGCGCGTGTTCTAAATAATAATAAAATCGAACTGAATATTTTCTATACACTAATTGCTCTTATCTGTGTGCTTAGTGCGAGTTTTTTAACGTTCTCGATAGCGTAAAAGTTAACTCATATTTGTATGGAATGGGATCGTTTGCCTACGTTTGCCGCTAGGGGCGCTGTTCCAACTGCGTACAAACTTGGATTAACTTTTACGCTATCGAGAACGTTAAAAAACTCGCACTAAGCACACTGACCGCGACGGGTCAACGTAAAGCCGCCGTCGCTCGAAATATGTCTTGTCGAATTCCTCGGGTTCACTCTCGGTGCCTTTAGGCCTCACAAGCACCGGTCACCGTCCTCGTCGAACTCGTCGACTACGACGAAGAGTTCGACGAGCGAACTAACCTATAGACACAGCCCCCTGAGTTTTCCGCCGGATCTTCTTAGTGAGTCGCGTTTCCGATCCGGTGGTAGATTCTACGAAGCGCTGCTCTTGCTAGGGCTAGTGTTAGCAAATTATGTAATGTTGAGCCCGTGAGCTCATCTACCCGTCCGGATGTAACTGGAATAGCCTATTAGGCTACCAGCAAAAAAGTAGAGGAAAAAAAAGTAATTGCTTGTTTTTTTTTTATTTATTGCTTAGATGTGTGGACGAGCTCACCTGGTGTTAAGTGGTTACTGGAGCCTACAGACATCTACAACGCAAATGCGCCACCCACCTCGAGATATAAGTTCTAAGGTCTCAGTATAGTTACAACGGCTACCCCACCCTTGTTCAGTGACAGCGGCAGTTGTAATGAATCTGTCATAATGACAACGGTATTTTATTAGTCTGCCAATGTAATAAAATACTAATCTTTGAGGTGTAGATCAAAAATTGTTAATAAAAAAAAAATCAAATTATTTCGTTCATACGTCACAGATACTTTAAGTTTTACAGTTAGCTTAATATACCAATCCGATTATATATCAGATAAAGGTTATTTACTAATCGTTTTGTAAATCTCATTCTTACGATTCAAGTATATCATGTGTTTTTTTTACATCTGATAGCATGTAAAGGCATCGTATAAAAATAACAAAAAAGAATGACCTAGAAAAGTTTACAATACAACTTTAATTTTAGATCTCGTCCGGGCGCAGCTGTAATATCCCCTTAGACTATGAGCAAATCGGTAGGGAAAATAATAATAATAATAAAAAAGAAAAACAAGAGAAAAGTCTTGCAGTAGAAGTACTCTGTCAATTTTAAAGAGCTTTTTTTCATAATAAATTAAAACTGACAATTATTCTAGCTTGTTTATTTTGAGGGCACTCTTATTTTTCCACAAAGCACTTATTAAAGTAACAGATAACAAGCAAGCATGAACTGCTCAATGTAACTTTTAAGGGAGCAACTAATTAAATCCATTTAAATAAGCACCAACCGTGCCTCGCACGTACAATGACCTCTTTATGAAGAAACATTCGGAGGTTTAACAATTACAAACGGTTGATATTTCGTGTATGCATCTACTTAACAAGGTATCATTAACTGTAACAATTTTTATGCAATAGTTTTTAATACGTAATAGGTGTCCATTTGGTTATGTCAAATTACGCGAAAAAAATAATATCGGGGAATGTTTATAATTGATTGAAATAAAGATTATTTTAGAATAGGATTAAATGAAGAGAGATAGTGAAAATTTCTAAATGTTAAATTGAGTAAACGCACATTTTGTTGCAGTAATTATTGAAAATTACACTTACACGTTGCACTCTTTAAGAATTTAGAGAAAAAAAATTGTACTCAGTAATGGTATGTATATTTAAGATATTTCATATCAAAAACTTCGATTCCTTGAAATTTTATGGTACTCACCACAATAACTGAATAATCAAAGACAACAAATTAGACGATAGATAATTTAATTAACCATGTATTGAAAATGCCGGGGGATCTTATGGGCTATAGGTCTTTTTTTTTGTTCCCTCTCTACTGAGGATCGCGACCACATGTGACTTTCTTCCTCTGTGTTCGATCATGGGTGGCATGGACCGCATGGTACAGACTATCACCAAGTGCTTCTCTTACTAGAGCTGACCATCTGGCTGGTGTTCTGCCCACGGTGCGCTTCCCCTCTATGCGACCCGCAATTATGAGCTTCTGTAATTGATGTCTGGGAGACTGCATGATGTGTCCGAAGAAGCTCATAACACGTCACTATCTATCTATCTATTCTATCCTACCTATGCTGATAGCCTTGAGAGGCTATTTCAGCTTCGCTCTAACGTGTATGTGAGCTCACGGGGCTCAAACCGGAGTGTTGCTAACACTGGTCATGCCAAGAGCAGTGCTTCACAGATGGGCTGTGGAGGCTGTAGTAAAAATAGTTTTAATTATTATATTACGACACGTAAAATCCGAAGCGAAATTCTAGAACATATTTATCCAAAGTTTTACTACCGATATTATGACTCTACTAATACAAACGATCTGAATTTTATGATGTTTTGGGAAATAAACAACCTTGTTGTGATATACATATATGTAGGTAATTGATCTTCCATATTTTATAACCATAAAAAACCACAGCGTCAATGACACAAAAATCTTAATCTATTAAAGTTTAATAGTTAAACTAGTTGAATCAGTTTTCATCTAATATATAAAATTCTCGTGTCACAATGTTCGTTCCCATACTCCTCCGAAACCGCTTGACCGATTCTCGTGAAATTTTTTATGCATATTCAGTAAGCCTGAGAATCGGCTACTATCAATTTTTCATACCCCTAAGTGATTAGGGTTGTCCACTAACATATTTTTTTTTATTTGGACTTTTTTTTTTGTTATAATGAAGTATTATGTGGTTGAATGAAATTTTGTTATTTTTAAACAACATTCCCTCATCGTTCACAGCGCTCCAGGCCTTTTTCACTCATATTCCACATCCTTATACACTTCCAATAAGTTAGTAAATTTTTTTTCTACACTAGAAATTCTCTAGAAATCTCATATATGGCAATACAAGGTTTGCCGGGTCAGCTAGTATTATTATAAAATTTCAAATAGTATGATGACCTCGATATTTAGAGCATCTTCAAACAACACATTATAATTTTTTGGTTGATGAAACTTATACACATAAATCAACAAAGACAATCAAAAATCTATACAATTTGAACGCTGCTTTAATCGTTATATTCGTTTGGATTTTACATTAATTAAATATATTTATTGGTTTTATGTATAACATCTATAGACAATCAATTTAAGTAACCAACTCGAGATCATTGGGGTTTTGACTTCGACGATATCTAGCTTTATATACCGCGACTCCCTTTTCAAATGGGAATGAATACGCAATTGATCCACACATATCTGTACAAATACGAATATTTCCATGAAAAACAAAACCAGACTGTTAAAACCGCTGATA